AATCGGCCCACTCTTTATTTTCACACACTTGTGCCAATTTTGTGAGCCAAGGACCCCTTTATATATTATGGAGGATTAGGGTTACATCCATGTAAACCCTAATACCCATGACCTTTCATTTACATAGGATCCATGGGTTAAAAGCTCCATGGACCATCCATGAAAGCTTAGCCCAACCTAAATGAACTTGGCCCATTCCATATATATAAGAGTCCATATTTAATTAGTTCTTTTTGATCACTTAATTAATTCTAAATTAATTCTTGATCAATACTAATTAAATAATATGATTCCATATTAATATATTAGAACTTATAATATATTAATATAAATCATAAATATACTATTCTCAAAAGACTATCCATATAAATTGTGCCGGTGAAGTGCAACCCAAATGGACCATGCCGGGTCGGGTCAAGTACATACCAAATATAGTTATGGACTTAGACATTAATCCAACAGATGCATCTCTCTTTTGACTCCTTTGGCCCACAACATTCTCAACTCGTCCAGCAAAGGCCTCAAGTAAACATCAATGTCCTTTGCGGGTGATCTAGGGCCAGGAATCAACAAAGTTAGCAAGAAAGAAGACTCTTTCATACATATCCATGGTGATGAATTGTAGGTAGTCAATATAACCAGCTAAATACTATAAGTATTATTAAAGATTCCAAATGGATTAAAGCCATCATCAGCTAAACCTAGAGGAACATTTCTAGGTTCTTTGGAAAACTTTAGATATCTCTGATCAAAATCTTGTTGTGACTTCCCATCAACCGGATGACACATCATACCATCCACTAAGTGTCCGGTATTATGCCAACTCATATCTTTAGCTATGAATCTGGAGCAATACATTTTTTGAAGCCTTGTAGTCAAAGGAAAGTACTACAACACTTGTTGTGGTACTTTTTTCCCCTTTGTGGTTGCGTCCACCCATCTAATCGCGTTACAAATCAGGAAATTCCGCATGGAATCATTCTCCTTCCAAAACAAAGCACATTCATATTTTCAAACATGAATGGATTGATATCCTAACCCTATCTTTCTCAACTTCTTTTTAGCTTCATAGTGTGAGGCTCGAATCTTGCTCTTCAGGAAAACAACTCTTATAAAATCTACAAGTTGGTCAAACGAACTATATATCCATTTATTGATCACTTTAATATACAACAACTTTACCAGAAAGTTTAGGGAAGACATCTCACAATCAGGGTATAAATCAGTATTGAGCTCCTCAAACAAAGCATCAAGTTTCGGGTCTATACCTCATCCCTTCTCATCTGTAATTTCTTCATTTGTATTTTGTTCTGCCATAACATCATCAATTACATAAAACATTTCATTAGTTATTGGAGTGTTTATTCTTGGAGTCAAATTGTAGCCTAAATTCGAAGCAACATGTTTCTCACAGTGATGATCCTACGTAGTATATGATTATAGAAACCCATAATCATATGTGTGGGCATAAATCGTAGGAAACAACTATAAATACATATTCACACACCTTTTTCACGAGAAACATACTTTGCCTTCAGAGTTGACATGTTTCTCAGCAATTTCCATAAAGTTTTTAAGACCTTCCAAGATTTTTTGAAACATTCACTTCTCATTAATCCAATTCTTATCGATCATCATTACTGTTTCATTATTAAAACTTACATTGTATACATAGTTATTGAAAGTTAGATTGTATTTTGGCTATAAAACATAAGTTAGAGTTTAAAGTTTACTCCACGAGAAGTAAAAACCAGTCAGAATTGATTGAGTATTCATAAGTATATAAAGAAATATATACCCAAGAAGTAAATATAAGACAGAATGGATAGAGTATTCACAAGGGTAGACTTCTAAACCCACTTTTTAAATACCTTATCTCATATGTGAATGTGTATTGCATGTTTGTTTGAGAAAAATTCGGCATCATTTCCCTTTAGCTCCCAAGTATATAAAGAAATATATACCCTAGGAGCAAAGAGAAAATGACAACCAAATTTTTCTTAAACAAATAATCATACAATACACATTCACATCCTAAATGAGATAAAGTATTAAAAAAAAGTCCCAAAACGAGGACAACCGTAAATTAATTTCTAAATCAATTTCGGGCTGGTATTTCTAGGTTCTTGATGATTATAAAGAAGAGGCTTAAACTAAAAATAAATGATTTATTGTGTTTTCATACTTTTGTTAATAATAGCATCATACTTTTGTTTGTGTTCTATTATAGCATCGTACTTTTAATAGCAACATACTTTTATTGGTTTGTTTTTTATTATTAATATAAAAAGAAATGAAAATAGAATGCTTTAATAAACAAACTAATATAAGTACGTAGCTATTAATAACCTTTGTAGTTAGGTTTTCTTTAATAGCAATGTACTTTTATTAGTTTGTTTATTAAAACATTCTATTTTCACTTCTTTTTTGTTATTGTTTTTTTATAATAACATTGTACTTTAAATAATCAAGTTATTAGACTATACACAATAACATTGTACTTAGCTTTTTTTTCTATTATAAATATAAAAAAGAAATAAAAGTAGAATTCTTTAATAAACAAACTAACAAAATTACGTTGCTATTAATAACCTTTGTAGTTAGGTTCTCTTTAATAGCCGCATACTTTATTAGTTTGTTTATTAGAGCTTTCTATTTTCACTTTCTTTTTTCATATTTATATTATATATAACATCGTCTTTTTGTTTTTTCGATTATAGCATTTTACTTTAAATATTATTTTGATTTTTTCTATTATAACAACTTACTTTTTTTTTCAGTTATAACATTATACTTAAAAAATCATATTACCTAATTAAACAAAAGTCATAATAATTACAATTAAGTCATTAACAATATTAAGCACTGTCAAACCATATATCATAAAAATAAAAACATATTAGGCACTAGCCTATTAAATACTTTACAACACAAACCAATAGCGGCTATTCATTAAGCATTTACTTACACAACAAATTAAGCGCTTATCATGAACATAGAAACACATTAAGCATTTATCAATTAAGCACTAAACAATTATCATGAAGTTAAATAAAATCACTTTAAACACTTATCAATTAAGCACATTATCACTTCATCTTATGTACTCAAAATAGTAAACCTAAACAACTAACATAATTATAGCATTGTACTTTCAATTTTTTTCATTATCAATACATTTTACTTTAAAAAATCTATTCAATTATAGCGGTGTAATTTGACAGATTTTTTTGAATATAATGTCGTATTATGAAAAAATCAAAATACAATGCTATAATATAAAAATGAAAGTACATTGTTATTTTGTGCATTTAACCTCTTAGGTCAAAATTATTTTAAGCTAGAAACATTACTTGTTATTCATGTTGTGGTGCGTAGAATCCAGTGGTGGTTGGTAGTCACCGGAAAAATCCCAAATCAGAAAAAAAAAATTTAAGAAATCAAGAACCTTACCTGATGTAGACGATAAAGGAGACCGGATGGAAGGAGATGGACCTCTTTGGTGGCCTCCGGTGACAACCTTACCGAGAAACAAAGAAAACATAAAATCTTCCATCGAAATCTCAAAATCGAAACCGAAACAAGTGAAATCGGAACGATCGTCGCTGAGAGATCGAGAGAGAAAGCCTTTGGGTTCGACGCTGCTACTGAATCATCGACTGGTATTCTCTCGTTTAGGTTAAACCCTATGTCAACAACAAGTCGTCGGTATAGGTTTAAACAATACTACGTCGTTTTGTATATTTGAAAAATAATAAAAAAAATTAAAAAACTTATTTATGTCAACGACATGTTGTCAGGACAGAGTTCATGCGGATCGCCACATTTTATACCGAGAACATATCGTCGGGATAGCTTTCCCAAAAAACAACCTCTTTTTTATTTTCTGTACCACAAAATATAATTAAATAAATATTATTATTTATGCAACATATATCGACGACATGTCGTCAACATAGGTTTTGAAAAAATACCGTAAATCTTTTTTGTTCCGGCCGAAGCTATGACTACGACAAGTCGTCGGCATAGCTACCCAGGTCAAACAATGTTGGTAAACCATGTACCGACGACTTGTCGTCGGCATAGCCTCATTTTGAGCGACGACTTGTGTCGTCGGCATAGATGTCATCAACAGATGGCACAATTCTTGTAATGTAAAAATTGAACTAATTTGTCTGTCTTAAAAGGACCGATTGATAGTAGTTATGATATTTTGCTTTGGCCAAGAACTAGAAATAGAGTTCGGGCAACTATCATTATTCTTTATTTTTTATCTTTTTTAACAGCAAGAAGAAAATTTTATTGATAAGTGGGTAGTGAGAAAAGTTAGAGTTGCATGCAATTGTTAAATGCAATTCCTTTGAAATTTCTTTTGTTAAGTGTAAGTTTAGTGTATATTTTTAATTTTTGTTAAGGCTACGTTTAATTTTTGTTAGTGTATATTTTGTTAAGTGATAGTAGTTATGATATTTTGCTTTGGCCAAGAACTATAAATAGAGTCCTGGCAGCCCTTCAAATCTCTAAAAAAGTTGCACAACCCATGATTTCTTTTTTCTTGGTCCAGTTGTAAATGGCAAATTTGTTGTGTTGAAGGATTACTTCAGGATGTCGACATTTTGGAAACCTTTCAATTGTTTGTTATCAACGTCAAAAATTTGTTAGATTTCATGCATCTTTTTTGTTCAATTGCGTTATATTTAATAATGTATATTTATATAGATTTCATTTTGTTTTTAAACCAAACTAAATATTATATTTTCCATGCATGGTATAATATTAAAGCCTTAAATGAAAGAAAAAACCTTATATACTTTTCATATTTTATTATAAATAAGTTCCATTAAAAAAATAAATGATTAAATCATTATCAATGTTGCATATATTTATTGTTTATATCAACCATTATGAGGACAAAATTGATCTTTTTACCATATATAATAAGAGCATTGCCAAACTCATTGGAAATTAACTAATTCCGAAAAAAAAAAAAAAAAAATCAAATGGAATTTCAAAAACAAGTATTTGTTGCGTTCTTGCTATCAGCCCTAATAATCACCGTAGCGTCCGCTGATTGTACTTGTGAACTAGAAGAAGTCAACAGCAACAATAGCACAGTTCTCAAGTACAAACTCTTCGCACTTGCTTCCATTCTCATCGCCGGAGGCGTCGGCGTTTCTCTACCCTTTGTCGGCAATATTTTTCCGGCTTTACGCCCTGAGAATGACAGTTTCTTCCTGGTGAAAGCATTTGCCTCAGGCGTCATATTGGCTACCGGTTTTATTCATATACTTCCAGATGCGTTTGAGAATTTGACGTCTCCATGTTTGAAAGAACATCCGTGGGGTGATTTTCCATTCACGGGGTTTGTGGCCATGGTCGCCACCATTGTGACCTTGTTGATCGAGACATCGGCGGCAGCCTACCAACTTAAGGTTCAGACGGAAGCGGCGGCGAAACTGGTCGGAGGTGATGACCAGGATGTAGAAAAGAACAGAGGAAATATGGATGTTCGCATGCATGCAAACCATGGCCATGTTCATGGATTGGTGTTGCCATCAATTAATGACTCCGAAGTTCATCGCTATCGGATTGTTTCCCAGGTTTTAAACTATTACTATTTCATTATTAATTATAATTCTTAATTTTACACTGGTTATCGATCCTGTGTTAAATATGTATTTTATTTTTAAATTTCAGGTGCTGGAATTGGGAATCATTGTTCATTCGGTAATTATAGGATTATCTTTAGGTGCTTCTAAAAACCCAGACACCATAAAACCACTTATTGTTGCCTTATCGTTCCACCAATTCTTCGAAGGACTAGGTCTCGGAGGATGCATCTTTCAGGTGTATATATATTTATGTTTCTTATTAAAATATTCTTTTAAGTATATATATTATTGTATTTGTAATTTTGTTGCAAATTAACCATATTAAGTTTCTTAAAGGAATTTGAAAAAGTTTTTACCTGATTTCTAGTGGTAATGTTGCAACAATATTACGTATATTAGTTTTATTGTGATTAAACCTAATTAATAACATGATGTATAGGCAAGAATCAAGTCACTCGCTGTTACATTAATGGGAGCCTTTTTCACCCTTACTACTCCAAGTGGGATTGTGATCGGACTATTGGTAAGCAACAGGTATAAACAAAACAGTACCACTGCTCTGATCGTGGAAGGCGTATTAAATGCTGCATCTTCAGGAATCTTGATTTATATGGCACTTGTTGACCTTCTTTCTCCGAATTTTAAGAATCCTCGGATGCAAAAGAGCAAGATGCTTCTACTTGGTTCCAATGTTTTTCTTCTTCTTGGTGTCGGCCTCATGTCTCTCCTAGCCAAATGGGCTTGACACTACTACAAAAACAAGCTTCAATGATTGAATACATCCGTCATTAAATAACTTAAATATGTACTCTTAAAGAATTATCTATGATACATATTTCATAGTTTTAGAAGCCTGTAAAAAATATACTTGAAAATGGTTGAGTTGGGCTACTTCATTTACACCAAACCAAGGTCTCTTTTGTGTGGCTTTTCATTTTTTTGGGCTTAAGTTGTGTGTGAGAGAGAGACACACGTAGCTAGGCATGCACAAACCGGATTTTTTTTCAAACCGAACCGGTTCTTTAAACCGGTTCGGTTCACTCCATAGCCAAGGAAAACCGGTTCAGCCTCAAACCGGTTCATTCAATAAATTAATCGAACCTATCTAAACCGGTTATACCGGTTCTATACCGGTTCCAAACCGGTTCACACGATATAAACCGGTTTCAATGACAAAATTCTCGAACGGGTGTAAACCGGTGGTTCGGTTCTCAAACCGGTTCGGTTCACTGTGGACCGGTTCAACCTAAACCGGTTTACCGGTTCTTTGACCGGTTCGGATCTTGAACCGGTTTTTTTGTGCACCACTACACGTAGCTAGGTAGGTGTACAAAAAAATAGGTTGGTTAAAAAGACAATCTATTTTACTATATAGATATCATACTAAATTTTTAAAATATTTTTATTGGTTGAAATTGCATTGTTTTCTGAAAAATTTAGTTATAAATAGTTAATTATAGGTTGACTTTTAGTAAATATGTTCATAAGAAGTCTAAGGGATGTCAATTTAGCAGCATCGAAAAAGAATTAGTAGAAAAAAAAGGATAGGCGAACCTAAAAACCTAAACCATTGATGAATTGAGTGCATGAGTTGTTGATCCAATTATACGAGCATTAGGTTGAACGGTGTAGTGTCGATGACACCACACTTCCAACTCATTGATGTCGACAATTTTGCATTTTTTTTACCATTTTTACAAGAGGTTAGGAGTGGTGTTATTGGCAAAAATAAGGTAAAAAGTGTGTGTGTGAGAGAGAGAGAGAGAGTAGAGAGAGAAATTCATATCCATATTTTGTTCTCCCACTTTGCCATCGGTGAAGGTTTGTCGTTAAAGATTACCACCGACAAAAAAAATGGAGGGTGGTGTTCACCGCCGATAATATGCACCAGATAAGCATACCGTCAGTAAACTATTATGATACCATATAGCCTTAGGATACTCATGTAATTACTATGGTCTCAATTATAACCCACGAAATAGATTCAAAAGGTTTCGATTAAAATAATGAGTTCACTTTATGGTGTTTCGAAGAAGAAATTAACTGTAGCATTGAGCAAGTATGTGTCACAACGATATTTGATTGAAAATTTGTGTTTCAAGATGGAAAATAAGAATGCTCAAGAATGTCATTATATTTAGTGTTGTAAAACTCGGTCAACTCTGACAAGTACTCGGAATCGTCCCCTTACTAAGACGAGTTAAGCCAACTCAGCCAAATAACTCAAAAATCGGTGAAACTTGGACCAAATCGGTCAAACTCGGCCGAGTACTCGGACCAACTCGGTCAAAAAGTCAAAATTGTCTTAAAAAGAGAAAAAAATCTAAAATTCCAAGATTGATATGTATAATACACTTATAATTTATTATTTAATACACACATGTGATTATTACTACATATATATCTTAAAGTTTTAGTAATTATTCACGAAGTGAGATTATTGCGTGTATTTCAGTTTTTGTGTATTCATATATATCTAATTTTGTTGTATATTTCAATCAACTTATGATTTTGAAATATATAATTTCCTTTAAAATATTTTTACATGAATTACCGAATCCGAGTACTCCCAAAATACTCCTGAATAGTCGTTACTCGGAAGTTAGCCGAACGAATACCAAATAACGAGTTTTACAACCTTGATTATATTTTTATATGGAACTCCAGGATATTAGACCATTAAAATTTCCAAATCTCTCAAAAAGGGTTTACGAAATCTAAAGTTACATTAATATTTCAAAAAAGTGTCAAGAAAGTAAATTTGCAAATTTACAAGGCATTATGAAATATATATGGTAATTGGTGATAGGCTGATGGCCATATTAGATTGAATAACTAATTTATGAGGTCAAATGGTTTTGAAACATTAGCATTTCTTTGTGGTTTATAGAAATAGAGTGGGAAACTACTTAAAGATTTCCCAAGCGAAACATTTTTGTGAAGGTGTATGGTTCATACCAAACATATTTTCCCAGTTGCAACTAAACAACAAAAATATAAGTTGTTAGATCCTTTATTCTGGTCATGCTCTAAAGTCTACACGTTGACCACTTCAACACATTTAAAGCAATATCCATTGAAAAGCTAACTAACAACATTCCATAAGTTTATATTCATATTTTTAACCAATCTTTTTTATATATAACACATTTAAAGCAATATCCATTGAAAAGCTAACTAACAACATTCCATATGTTTATATTCATATTTTTAACCAATTTTTTATATATAGTTAATTACATATTTTTGAAAACAACAAATACTTTATATAAGAAAAAAGAGGCATAGCAAGAAGCTATGACAAAAGGAACCAACATAAGTTTTAGTTTTAAGAGAATACAAACTAAAAAGAAAGTAAATCAAACTATAAAAGGAGAACAACTCCATTCCACCCATCTTATGCCTTTATTCCCCCTTATTTGATCCATTCAAATGATTGTGCTATGATGGAATCCGCTGTTTTTGCAGGATTAACCCCTGTTTTATTGAAAACTTTATCATTCCTGGTTAACAAAATATTCCACAAGGTAGAATATAGTATCATATTAGTAATTTCCTTCTTTTTTGGGCAGTTCCCTCCTGGAGCATCAAAGTCAATAACATCACCCACATTCCTGAATTGGGTATTAAGAAACCTGTTGGATTAGTGTCTAAGTCCATAACTATAATTGGTATATACTTGACCCGACCCGGCATGGTCCATTTGGGTTGCATGGCATCGGAACATTTGGGTAGACCTTTTAATGAGAAGAAGATATTTGTGACATATTAATATATTATAAGTTCTAATATATTAATATGAACTCATATTATTTAATTAGTATTGATCAAAAATTAATTTGGAATTAATTTAGTGATCAAAAGAGACTAATTAAATATATGAGGATTGATTGTGTAAATCATTGATTCTTATATATGTGAGCTTGTGATCCATGATTCCTTATGTTGGGTTTAACCCATGTGGTGGTCCATGGATACTCCATGGAGATTAAAACCCATGGAGCATAAGGAATGGGTAAATACATGGGTTACATGGTGTAACCCTAATGTGCACACTATATAAAGACCCCATTGTTGGTGAAATCGGCACTAGTGCATAATATAGAGGGCAAGCCAATTTCTATGAACTCATATCTTCTCATGGTTATTCCAAATGTTCATGGTGTTGTGTGAACCATTTGAGGTGTCACATTTGGGGCACTAGGCTCTTGAGCTCCATGGAATCAAGCACCAATAAAGTAGTTTTTTATATTATATGTACTTTATATTATGCTAGTTAGAACAATACCTTGGAAATTTGATATTTGCATGTATAATAGAGAAAACATAGATCCAAGATATTTAGGGTTGCATGTACACCATAGGAGTGTTAGAATGCTCAAAACCCAACAAAACCCACACCAACGCATTATCCAGTAATATACCTCCTTGGAAAAGTCGCATTCCACCATGAGATGCTTAACAAATTCATTATATTTTCCACACAATTGACAAATTTGGTTTTGGACAGAAATACCCCTATGGTTAAGTTCTTCTATAACCGGGATTCTATTCATTGCCACCCTCCATACAAAACATTTCATGTTTAAAGGGATGAGTTTTGACCAACAGATATGTGGTCCCATATATTGAATAAGTTTAGAGTCCACCAATTTTCGTAATGTACTCACCAGATATATGCTGTATGTGTCAAGATTGGATCGAAAATATATGTTTGTTGTGTGAGAGAAATTCAAAGGTCCAAATAGAGAATAGAATACGTGTAGTTCAGAAATGGCAGCAGCATCACTAAGGTTTGTTTTCCAATTCCAAGCAAAACCACTGTTGCATAAACGATGAATAAGCCGATAATTTTTGACCGGTTCTAGCTGGTACAGAAGTGGGAATCTATTCTGCAACGTGAACTCCCCACACCAAGTATCTTTCCATAATAGAAGTTGAGGATAGAGAGATGGTTCCAGCGAAAACAATCTATTTGGGTCAATGTTCATATTGTTGAGACTCTTTATTGCTTTGGATACATTGCTCCACACACCCACTACACTTCTACTATAGTATAATTTGTAGGTTATGGATGCTTACAATAACTCCTGACCACAGACAATTCGGTTCATTTTTCAAACGTCACCACCATTTTGTTAATAATGCAATATTTTGTGCTTTTAGTGAACCCACACCTAAGCCTCCATCTTTTTTTTCTGTAGTCACTTTTGACCATCCACCCAGTGGATTTTTTGTCTTTTATCTGTTCCTCCCCAAAGAAACCTGCGTCTAAGCTTTTCAAGCCCATCCAAAACTCCTTGTGGTGCCTTGTATAATGAAATATAATATGTTGGAAGACTAAATAACACCGATTTAATTAAATTTAATCATCCCACAAATGACAAGGTGTTTGCCTTCCAATCTAATAATTTCTATTAAAATTTATCAACAATGGGTTTCCAATTATTTTTTGCCAGCATATTAGCTCCAACAGTACACCAAGGTATGAGAAGGGGAAGCAGCTTTTCAAGCAACCTAGGATTTGAGTCATGTCTTGTAATTCATTTTCAGAGGTGCAGATACCAAATAGTCGCAATTGTTGAAAGTTTACCTTGAGTCCGGATGAGATTTCAAAGCATTTGAGAATTCGTGAGAGGTTTTTTATGCTGCCCTTATCCCAATTTCCCGCAAAAATTGCATCGTCTTCATAGAAAAGGCGTGAGATAATCGGCCGGTTATATGGTAGTTTGATCCCCTGGATTA